CAGTGTGCGCGAAGTCGGCGAAGCCCCGTTAGCAGTAACGGGCGAACAACGGCTGTTGCTGTACGCGATGTAGTCGGGCTCCGTAAGGAATGCCGAGAAAATTCCTGTTGATGAAAAAGGGAACAACGTGGAGGGGAACGCGGAAGAGCATTGGCGGACGCGCGCGGAAGAACAGCGGCGGAGCTGCAGATGGCGCTGCGCGTGGTGTGGTCGCAGGGGGAGAGCCATCGCGGCCGCGAGGAAGTGGTATGGCTGCTAGCCTGCATAGCACTTCATCTGTTTCTCTTTCCATTTCTCTTGTTTGTTCGTTCGTTTGTTTCCAAGCATCATCCCAAGTGCCCTGCTTGCTTTCTGTGTCATGTGTCCGTAAGTCCTCATCTGCTTCACTTCGTGGCCAGTGTGTCGTGAAACTTTCCCTTCCTTTTCTTGCCACTTCCCTGCGTCAACTCCGCTCAATTCGCCACTCCCAACCCCTCACGTCATGAGAAGCTGTGTTTCACTTCATGGGCAGCTTGTGTTTTTTCCTAAACCCCCGTTCAATTCTTGCGTCCGTGTTGTTCCCTCTGTCTCTCCCAACCCTTCAGGTGGTGAGGGAACTGCTTCATTCATCGCCAGTGTCGCCCAGATCCTGCCAGGAGCAGACAATTCCGTAGCAGAGCAAATCCCAATGCTGCTCGCATCCTGCCTGTTCCTCTGCCCCTTCCAACCCTTCCTTCTCATTTCCTCAGGTGGTGAGGGAACTGCTTCTCTTCGTCGCCAGTGTCGCCCAGATCCTGCCAGGAGCAGACAATTCCGTAGCAGAAGAAACCCCAGCACGACACGATGACAGGCAACCTTCTGGACGTTTAGTTACTGCAGCAGCCGCAGCTGTTAATGCTGCTGCTGGCAGCGGCCGTAGCAGCAGCAGCAACAGCGAGGGCAGCAGGAGGAACAGAAGCGGAGAATCCGCAACTAGGCCAACAGAGTTGCGCAAAGCTGTTGATACTGCTGCTGCTGGCAAACCCTCGTTTCTAGTCCGCTCTCCCTCTTCCTCCTCTGCCTGCTCTGGCTGCTCCGCACACTCCCCTCGCTCCCGGCGTTCCCAGGCCAACACGAACAGCCCTCGCAGCCCCCATTCCCGTTCTTCTCATACCCATCATTCTTCTCACAGCCGCCACTCTTCTAAAAGCCGCCACTCTTCTCAAACCCACCATTCTGGCCCAGCGCCACTCTCTCCTCATACCCGTTATAGGGACAAACGCGACAGCTCTAGTAGCACAGATAAGGCCGAACCAGGCGTTCCGCCTTCCTCCTTGGTGACTTTCCTGGCACAGCAACAGCAGCAGCCAGGCAGTGCGAGGAGCAATCGTAGCACAAGGAGAGGTGACAGCGGCAGCAGCAGTGGCAGTGGCAGGGGCAGCGGCACTGGCAGGGGCAGTGGCAGTGACAGTGGTTCCAGGAAGAATGGAGGCAGTAATGATGGCTCAGCTCTCAATAATACGAGGAGCAAGGAAGCAGATATTTGTTACAGTCAACGCAAATCAAACGCGGCTGCTGACGTCACACCTCTCTGTTCCACGTCACCCTCTTCCACGTCATCATTGCCGCCCTCACCTTCACCTGAAGGCTTCCCCTCGCCTCCCCCGCTGCTGCCGATTGATCAGGATCAACCGAAGGAGGTGGAGGAGGAGGAGATGGGAGCGGAAGAGGAGGAGGAAATAGGGAAAACAGCAGCGAGAATAACAATTGCTGATGATGCCTCTGTAATCATGCACGTCTCACCTGCTGCTGCGGCTGCCGCTGCCGCTGTTGCCATCACCAGTGCTTCAGCTCTTGATTCCCCTGACACCTTCTCATCCACTTTTCCTGCACCTTCTGCATCTGCTCCGGATCCTCTAGCTCTAGAGCCTCCCTCCGTTTCTACTGCCTCACGCCTGGTCCCCCTGCCTCTGCTGCCACTGCAGCGCCTAGCCCATCCTTTCCTGAACAATAGCTTCCGTCTTGTTGACGCTCTTACGGGCGGCATGGCTCGGCAGGTTTCGTCTGGGTTCTCAGGCTTGCTCCGGAACGTGTGCAGCAAGCCGAACCTGTTTTCCAAGCCTCTCGGTCAGCTTGGGTCCTTGGGCGGCACGGTGCTCGGATTGGGCGGCGCAGTGGGGGTTACTGTAGGTTTGGCGCTCATGGCTGCTAATGCTGCAAACGGAGGGGTTACTAACGGGGTGTATCAGCGAGTAGGGGCGCCTCTGAGGGTGGAAGCAGGGAAAAGGGAGTGGGGACGGCAGGTTGATGCTGAGGAGCAAAAGTACTGGGCTGATGAGTACAGTGCGAGAGTGTATGCTGGTACTGGGCATGACAGTAACGAGTACAGTCCTGGTATGGAGGGGCATAGAGAGTGGGGCGGAGGGGAGGCTGAGGAAAAGGTGAGTATTCCTGTGGAGGAGGGAGATGAGAGGGGAGGGGAGAAAGTGATGGGTTATGCGGAGATAGTGGGAGGACTGGTAGCGCCTGTGGTGCGCGGGGAAGGGTATGGAGTGCATGGGGTAGGGTACGGGAAAGGGTATGGGGAAAGGTATGAGGAAGGTGTCTCTTCTCCCAGCACTTCCTCTGGAAATTCCTTCAAAGGATCTTCTCCTGTCATAGCTACCTCTTCTGGGAGTGATGCCCCTGTCCGTGTGCATGAGATGGTGGGGGACTCGCCTCTGCATGTGGTGAGTGAGTGGGAGGGGATAGGCGGAGGAGGGGAGGAGGAGGAGGGGGCACTGCATGTGCTGAGGCAGTGGGAAGGCGGGCAGGAGGACGACTGGGGGGGTGCTCAGTGGGACTGGCTTGCAGAGGAAGATGATGAGGAGGGGTTTGTGAGAGAAGAGGTGGAGGAGTGGGAAGGGAGGAGCGAAGGGGTGAGTGAGGGTGGGGGGTTGATGGGAGCAGGTTGGGGTTGGGAGGAAGAGGAGGGTGATGTAAGGGGTGGGTTGCATGGTGATGAGGATGGGACTGCGGTGTGGCAGCAGGAGCCTATCCCAGGGGGGTCTATGGGAGGTTCTACCCAGGGGTCTGTCTCTTTGTTAGGGGTGCGGCAAAAGGAGGAAGTGCATGGTGATGATGGTGGTGGTGACGCTCTGGGGCAGCAGCAGCGGAAGTGGTCCCATGACCACCAGGCATCAGTGGGGGAAGCGGTGTCACTGGAGCAGAAGGAGGGGAGACGCAGTGATTTGGTGGGTCTGAGTGCTGAAGAAGAGAGGGGACATATTGAAGGACGAAGCATTGGTGGTGGTGTGGAGCGTAGGGATGTTAGATATGATGGAGACAGGTTAAGTTTAGGAAGTGCAGGGAGGAGGCGAGTGGAAGCCTTGGCAGAAAAGGATTGGCCGTTGTCTGCAGGTGGATAAACTTTGAGACTTGCACATTGTTTGCTTGTTTAGATGCAATAACCACATGTTGACAAACTGGACAATGGCTGGGCATTTTTTAAAAGATGGTGTTGTTTCTTTCACGGAAAAAAAAATTCCGGTACGGGGTATTTTGGCAAGATATAGATGCAGCAAGAGGATAGCAGAATGAGTTGGATCCCATGCAGATCAGGAAGTTCAGCTGGCTGGCACTGTGCTATGGTGGTAGCACATGAAGATAACTTCATACTTGACATTTTTGCACGTCATGGCATTTGAACTTGTTTCAACAAGCACTTTTCACAGTCTCTTATGCATTTTCAAACGTTTCAGTGCACGCACATCAGTGGGTGTGCGACGGCTCAAACCTGAACTGTGTAACTAACGACCTTTTGCGAAATTATCCTGGCGACTCTTCGTCTTCCAAGTGGATGCTTGACCACCACCTGTTTTCTCCGCTTGAATCTTCCCCTACCGCAATTCACGCGTGGATGCCATCATGCTGATGTGTATTTTTTCCAAGGCAACTGGTTGGGAATGAGCTTGCAAGCAAGCCAGCCCTTGCCGACGTGCCAAGGGTGTTGCACGCACGTCGCTGCGAGGCAATGGGGGCTTCAACTGGAAGAGGCTCGGCTAGTAGACGAGCTTCTTGATTAGCTTCGATCTTTACATTTCCCGCCAAAATTGAAATACCTTACAGTGACCTGGTTCAAACTACGAGTCGCGTAGCTCCGAGAGTCCTCCACTCTTCAGCACAAACCGTGCCTGAACTCTTTGCTATCATAGGCTTGGAACTCGAAGCAGCATGTCGCATCCTTGTCGTACACGTTCGCCCTTGCTGGCCGAGAACGTGTGCGACCAATTTGCCACACCCGGCTCACATTCGCATCATGGCTGGGGCAGCCCTTGCGAACCGCAATGACGGCACTGTATCGCCACTATTTGGTCAGGCCTTCGGTTCGGCAGCTGCGGGCGCCTTGTGGTCTGGTTACGAATGGCGACTGGGATGGGCAGGCATGTGTGTGCCTGAATTTCTGATCAGCCATTCCGCCCCTCTTGTCAGTGTCAATCCTGGGAACTCCGGAAATGCCTTTCATAGAGAACTGCATTTGATTCCTTCCCTGCGCAACTCCTTCCCTACGCATACCATGTTTCAGACTCACAGTCAGCAATTTAGCCAGTCTACCCTGCAACCTGTTCAGTCCGAGTAATATATACTCAGTTTGTACTAGAGAAAGGGACTGTTTCTAGTGCTTCTGATTCACCATTAGTCCGTCTCTTTAGCCAGTGCTCCTGACAACTAGGTCTTAATCCATTTCTCAAACGTTCCCGTAGGTGTTGAGGACACAGATGTTCCTTTAGCTTTGTTCATTGGCTTCGTCGCCCATCGCAAGAACGACCTTCAAGATGGAGCCTACCATTTTAGAGAACATTCAGCTGACTCTTAACCCGACACGAAGCAGGTGACGCTTACTCCCGACACTTTCCAGCACCATCCCATGCCATCAGCAGCTTCTTCCATCGTAGCTGCATATATACAGTATTTTTATCGAACTCGGGAACCGGGACAATATGCTTACAAAAAAACCTTTTTGGTTCGGTTCACTGACAATTTGGTGTGACCGTTCGTCGCAGGTGCGAGGTTCTCATTTCGCTCAATGGCAGCACAACGGTCATTTCGTCCGGCCTGCTCAAGCCGTTCGCGAGCCACATAAAGGCGGTGGAGGATCAGCTCAGCAGCGGCTCGCACCTTATCAAGCTCGACCCGCGCACACGCACGCATTTCCTGAAGCTTCAGAGGCAGAAGCTGCGGGGGGGATATGTTCCGCCTGAGGAGGAGGAGGACGGCGCGGATGTTGACGAGTTGATCTCTTGGTTCACTCGAACCACCGTGGAAAGGTAAGGTCTTGTGCTGTTGAGGCGCCTCAACAGGACGACGCGGATGATGTTGAAGAGTTGATCGCGTGTTTCACAAGGAGCACTGAGGAAAGGTATGTGGTCTTATCCACCGTCGAATCAGCGAACAGCGCGGATGTTGACCAATTCCGTCTCGTGGTTCAAGGGAACCACAGTGGAATGGAATGAGAAGGGCTTATCCTGGCGACCCACGTGCTGATCATTCAGTTTCGTGGCACGATTAACACGTAAGACTGATTATCGTTTTACTAAATTCGAGGCGATAATGGCCTTGAGAGGCTGATTTCATTGCCTACCAAGATCGCGATGGAAAGGCATGCAAACAGTCGAAGCCACGAGAAACAAGCCTCGGCGTCTCGCCGCGAATCGACCCCTCTTTCCGCCGTCTTCCTTCGTGAATCGTTCTCCTCCTTCCTTCGTTTCTTTACGTTCCTGTCCTGTCTCCCACCCGGGCGGTGTCGTTCCTCAGCTCCCCAGGGCTCATCGAGCACGCCGTGGCCACCGCTTTTTTCCTCCTCAAACCTTCTCCTTGATGTCCTTCCTTTGCTCCTTACTTTCTTCCTTCCTGTCTTCCTTTCTACCACCAGGGCGGTGTCGTTCATCAGCTCCCCAGGGCTCATCGAGCACGCCGTGGCGATCGAGAGGAATCGCTCACCGCCGACTCTTGCCCTCATCCCCCCTGTATCCAACCTTTCTCCGGGCTGCTCCGTCCGCTCCTTTCTTATCCCCCACCAGGGCGGTGTCGTTCATCAGCTCCCCAGGGCTCATCGAGCACGCCGTGGCGATCGAGAGGGAGTTGCTGCACCTCGAAGAATCGCTCACCGCCGATCCCTCTGCCTCTCCCGCCGCCGACTACGCCCAGGTGAGGCAAGGCTTCCGTTTGGATATATGCCAGACTAAGCTGAATGTGGTGCCTACTACCCTCACCGTCAGCGTGGTTTTTTTTTCGCCAGTGAAACGGAGCATTAGACTGTTCAATTCTCCCCTTCACGACCACACCGCTTCCTTCCGTCCTTCCCGTCTCTCCAGTCCCTCCCCGTCTTTTGCTCCCTCCCAACCTCCGTCCTTCCCATCCCCTCCCCTCCCTTCCCGTCCTCTCCCCATTCCCCACCAATTCCCGCCATGTGAATCGTTGGACCTCAGAACGACACCAAGTCTGATGCAGGTTTGACCGTCACCCCACCCAGCATAGTGCCAATCGTGCCAACACTTTCCAACACGTGTCTACACATCTCAACACATGATAACCATGCCAGACATATCATGCAAATCGGCACCAACTCCAAATGCACCTTTTCTCCGCCTCATAACCATATCCGCCCTACCATGCTTCCCTAGTTTTCACCACCCGTTGCGCGCGCCTTGTTCATCGCATTGCTGATTTTCCTTCCATTTATTCTCTACACGAGTCTGTCGCTTCCGTTCACACCGAAGCGGTGTCTCCTCCCTGCTGGCTCGTTATTACTTACTCCTCTCACTCCTTTTCTCTCAACCCCCTTTCCAATTCTTCCTCTCTCTTCTCTCCGTCGCTGACCTCCCCTCCCTCTCTCTCTCGCCTCTTTTTCCAGACTTCGACGGTGACGATCGTGGCATGTCGCTCACTCGCGACAGCTCGCTGCGTGCGCGACGCTCCAGCTCTCGCTCGCCGTCGCCCATCCGGCGACTCATTCAGGTGCGATGGGATGGGAGTCGCCAAGTCGCATCCTTCCGCACAATATGATAAACTTATCACCCTCTTATTCACACGACATCTACATTTCCCTCTCACACTCTACCCACTCACCGACCCTCCTTCTCTCCTTATCTCCCCCTCTCCCCTTCTCTCTCCCTCACTCTCGCTCGTTCCCCATCCGGCTCTCCCCCCCTTTCTCTCTCACAGAACGGGTTGCGAACGGTGGCGGAGAGCAACGGCAACGAGGAAGGAGGCGAGCTCATCATGTGAGTGCCTCACTGACTTAGTCCCGGTCTTCTGCTTTCGGTATCTTAGTAATTCTCTTCTTCAAGTCCCACCCGCAAGCAGATGCACAATCGGACTGTGAACTCTCCTCTTCAACTCCCCTGCCAATTATGGTGATGTTACTTTTGAGAATTCTCATAAGTAACATCGTCTTCTGCTTTTGTGATTCGCTTCTTCAACTCCCACCCGCAAGCAGATGCACAATCTGACAGTGATCGCCTCTCTTCTTCAACTCCCTCTTCTTCAACTCCCCTGCCAACTTCTCCCCCGTCCCTCGTCCCTTCCCTTCCCCTTCCCTGTCCCTCTCCCATTCCCCTCCCCTTCACTCTCCCCACTCCCCTTCCGTTTCCCTCATTCTCCCTCCCCCTCCCCTTCCCCCTCCCGTCCACCTCCCCTTCCGCCTCCCCTTCCACCTCCCCTTCCGCCTCCCCTTCCGCCTCCCCTGTCAGGCGCATCCGCAAGGCGATGCACATGCGCCTGGGCATGCTGAGGCGCGAGCAGAACGTGGCGGTGGCGCGCGCAGCAGCGGGCGGATTCACGCGCGACATCCTCTCGTCGCTGCTGCTCTTCGCCGACTGCTTCGACGCCCCGCGCCTCAAGTGAGTGTATTACTCGCTTACTCGCTTCCTCTATAACACAAGGAGCCTATTCTCAATGCTTCCCGCGCGACATCCTCTCATCGCTGCTGCTCTTCGCCGACTGCTTCGACGCCCCGCGCCTTGAGTGAGCGCCCCACCCTGCCCCCGTTCCCCCTCACCTCCGCCCCGGTACCCCCCTCACTTGCTCCTTCCGCCCCGATTCCCTCTCACTTGCTTGCTCCCTCTCCTCATGTCCCGCCTCTATTGAGCACGTGTCCCTCAAGTCCGCGCTTCTCATCCCACGTGTCCCCATACGCCCCCCACGTGCCTACCACGTGCCTCCCACGTGCCTCCTACGTGCCCTTCTCTCCCCCCAGGCAAGCATGCGTCCAATTCTCCACGCTCCTCCTCCGCCGGGAACTCCAAGCGTTGAGACGTCTCAAAACTAGCCTCCCATGTGCGTGTCCCCCACGTGCCCCTCTCCTCACCCCCTCCCCTCCCCCTCCCCCCAGGCAAGCGTGCGTCCAATTCTCCACGCTCCTCCTCCGCCGCGAGCTCCAAGCCAACCCGCCGCCCGCCGCCCCCCCCGCCGTGTCCGCAGTCTGGCTTCCCCTCGCCCCGGATGCCGCCACCACCGCCGACCCCGCGGACGCCGCCGAATCCGGCGGAGACTCCCCCGCTGCGGACGCAGCGGCTGCGGCTGCTGGACCCTTCGCTATAGGCACTCCCGTTGGTGGTGCCGGCCATACCGGCCCGTACTCCTTCGTACCGATGTATACTCCCGGTTCGTCTGGCTACACACCCGGCAACCCCTTCCCCTATGGTCTCGTGGCTGTAGCGCCCGGCGCTACAGCCGCCGCCGGCCAGTTCCCCGCCGCTACAGACATGGTGGGGTTCGGGCGCGGAGGGGGAAACGGCGGAAGCCTGGCGGGGGGACCGCCGGGGGCGGTTAGGATCGGGGGAAAGCCGGTGTTCGGAGTGCATCACCACCATTACCACCGCATGGGGGGCGGCGGGCGGAAGAACCGCGCGGCTGCGCGCATCTCCCCCAAGCTCCGCTCGTGGGGGAACAGCGGGGGCGCGGGCGGCGCCGGTGCTGGTAACGGTGAGCGGAACGGGGAACTCGCTGACGTCAGCAGCGCGCGGTACTATGACTCGGATTCCGGTCTCCCTGCCGGAAGGGCGCGCGGCGGAGGCGCAAGGGGAGCGGCGAGCGGAGGAGGCGGAGCGGGGGAGGATATGGGGAATATGTCCGAAGCGGACAGTTTCATCAGCACCGTTGATGTGGATGTGATGAACGGTGCGGATGCGGAGATGCTGGTGCTGGGAGTTGCGGGGCGTCCGGGGAGCGCTGGCGGGGAATTCGCTGGGAGCCGTGGCTGGAGCAAGGGGAAGGGGGGTGGCGGGGGAGGGGGAATGGGGGGGATGCTCCGGCGCAGTGGGAGCGGGAGCCTGTTTGTGCGCCCGTCTGCTGTTGCTGAAGGCTCAGATGAGTTTGATGACGCGGATGAGGAGGAGGACGAGGAGGATGACGAAGGAGCGGGCTTTCCAGGGGGGAGAAGGCAGCAGCAGCGCAACAAGCAGCGCCAACAGCAGCAGCCGCAGCAGCCGCAGCAGCAGCAGCCGCTGCAGCCGCAGCAGCAGCAGCTGTCACAGCTCGTTCTAGACCCAGAGCTGATGCGGAGAATCCAGGAGGTTCAGCTGATGCAGCCGGGGAACCAGCAGGAGGCGGAGCTGCAGCAGCAGATGCTGCAGGACCTGCTGGCGCGGCAGCAGCAGCAGCTGCAGATGCAGATGCAGCAGCAGGAGCGGCTGCTCCAGCAGCAGCAGCAGATCCAGCAGCTGCAGCAGGCGAGCAAGCAGCGCGAGGAGCAAGAGCAGAGGGAGAAGGAACAGCAGAGGGAGAAGGAGGAGAAGGAGGAGGAGGAGCAGAGGGCGCTGGAGAAGGAGCTGGCTGGAAAGGACTGGCTTGCGGATCCCACCACTCTGGCGTTCCTGAAGCAGCCTAACACAGCCCCAGGGGCGACAGCAGGAGGCCCGGGCGCAGGGGGAAATGACAGTGTGTTGTTCGGCATTGGCAGCGGCAGTGGCAGCGGTGGCAGCGGCAGTGGCAGCGGTGGCAGCGGCAGTGGCAGCGGTGGCAGCGGCAGTGGCAGCGGTGGCAGCGGCAGTGGCAGCGGCAGTGGCAGCGGTGGCAGCGGCAGTGGCAGCGGTGGCAGCGGCAGTGGCAGCGGTGGCAGCGGCAGTGGCAGCGGTGGCAGCGGCAGTGGCAGCGGTGGCAGCGGCAGTGGCAGCGGTGGCAGCGGCAGTGGCAGCGGTGGCAGCGGCAGTGGCAGCGGTGGCAGCGGCAGTGGCAGCGGTGGCAGCGGCAGCGCTGGTTCGGACTCTGGGCCTTTCTCAGACGATTTCATGCTCATGTCTGGTGTCTCCTCCTCTCCTTCCCCCGATTTCCTCACTGGTGGGGGAGGAGCAGGAGCAGGAGCGGGAGGGGTGTCTGCTTTTGACCGCTCCCGTTCCCTTAACCAGGTGCCTTATAACGGGGGCGCGAATCTGGAAGCGGAGATGCTGGGGGTAGTGGCAGGGGCGGGCGCGGGGGGGGACTCCTCCGCCCGGGATTTCCTCGGGGAAGATGCGCTCCGTGGGCCTGTGGACGAATCTGGACCGTCGAACCATGAGGATCTGATGGCGTGGGAGGCGTCGCTGGGTGAGGCGATGCTGGTGGGAGGAGGGCCGGATGGTTCTTCCTCTTCGTCCTCTTCTCTGTATGGAGATGATATGGAGCTTAGCCTTGCTGCTGAGAGGGCTGCAGGAGAAGCAGCAGGAAGGGGCGTGGGAAGGAAAGTTGGGCCAGGAGGAGTGGGAGCGAGGGGAGTGGGGGGGGCGGGGAGAGGGCGGGGAGTGGTGGGGAGCGGTGTGGCGGGGCGAGCTGGGATTGGCGCGCGTGGGCGGAGTTTGTCGTCGTCTTCTGCTGTTGGTGCGGGAGCAGGACGTGGCAGGGGCCGGGCGACAAACCCGCAGGACCGTGTTCTGATGGAGATGGAGAGGAAGCAGCAGGAGGCCGCTCGCCGCAGGGTATGTTGCCTCCTACCTCACAGTTCGCTGTACCTCTGTTTTTTATAGTTGAATCAAAACACGCCACAGTCCTCGTACCACGATGTTACGACAAATCCCCTACCCTCTCAGTCCTCGGTACCTCGAACCAACCATCAGGGTCCTCGGTTCTGATGGAGATGGAGAGAAAGCAGCAGGAGGCTGCTCGCTGCAGGGTATGTTTTTCATGTGATGAGCTCTCTTGTTCCCTGCTGTCTTGTCTGTGGGAAGGCATGACCCCACTAGGCACCTTTTGTCCCGTTCCCCCATTCCCTCCCCCTGCACCTACCTGTTCCCTTTCCCTCGTGTGCGCAGGAGGAGGAGAAGAAGCGGCAGCAGGAGGCGAGGCAGCAGCACCTCAAGCGTGGGGCGACAGGCCTCGTCCGTTCCACCTCCACCTCGGGCATTGAGAGGCGCCGCACCACCCCTGCCACGTCTGCTACTACCGGCGTTACCAGTGGTAACCGCACTGCTACCGCCGGTGGGGCTGCTAGGGGTACCCTTGGGTCCCTTGCTGGTAGCAGGTCCCTCTCCCAGCAGCATACTGCTTCCTCTGCCATGAGACTCGCCGCTGCTGGGGCTACAGCTGGTGGTGCTGCTGGTGGTGGGTCGTCTGTTTCTGGGGCTGCACGGGCAGCTGGGCGTGTTGCCGCACGGCCCTCGAGCCCTGACCTGTGCCGGGCCGGGCAGCGGAAAGTTTTGTCCAGCCCGGGGTCAGGACCGCGGAGTGCGACTGGTGGGGCGAATGGACGCAGCCGTGACATTGTGAATGCTGTTCCCTCCGCTGCTGCTGCTGCTGCTGCTGCTGCAACTGCGGCGAGTGGAAAGGAGGGATCAAAGGTAGAGGCGAACCAAGCAGCAGGCGAAAATTCTGTGGAACAGGTTGACCAGCAGCAACAGCAGCAGCAACAGGGTGTTGCAACGGCAGCAGATAGCAGTGACGTGATGCATGTAGAAGATATTGCCGAAGAAACATCTGCATTTGCTACGGCTGCCGCTGCTTCTCTGCTAGCCTCAGCAACAGATGTTGTTGCTGCTGTAGAGCCAGCGGCTCAGGCCGCTGCTCCTGCTGCTACCACTGCTGCCACTGCTGCTGGAAACAGTGGCAATGGCAGCAGCAACGGCCGTGCCCGTCGCACTGTGACCTTCCAGGAACCAGAAGCTTCTGATGGCTATGACCCCAGTGCTGGTCCAGGCAGTGAGCAGCAGCAGGGGCAAGAGAAGGAGAGAGAGAAGCCAGGAAAGGAGAACAAGGGGAAGGAGGCCAGCGCATCACCAGCAGCACCACTCACAATGGCAGCAGGGGGAGGAGTGAATGTTGGGGGAGCAGCAGTCTACCACCACCCCCCTGGCATGCCGCATCACTCCCCATACGGGTCCCTCCCAGAGGCAGGTGGGGTGGCACAAGGGCGACGGGCAAGCATGGAGGGCCAGGAGAAACTCGGGATGCTGAATAATGGCGTCCATATGACCAATGCTTACGGGTATACTGCACATACTGCACCCCATCAGAGCCACCCTGCTGCTGCGCCTATGCTTGTTCATGGGGGTCCCGGCGGGGCAAGCCCTGCAGCTGTGGGGTTTGGCGAGGGGCTTAGAGAGGCAAGGCTGAAGCAGGAGCGGGAGTATTTGGATATGTTGAGGGAGAGAGAGGCTGCGTGGGTTGGATCGGAGCAAGATGGGGGGGAGAAGAAGAAATCGTCTGGCTTGAGGAAGCTGTTTGGTGGCTTCGGAAAGTAGAGTACTTAGTTGAGACTAGTTTGGGTGGTGGGCTTGAGTCATGGTGTTGCCTGTTGGGTCTAAAGATATTAGGAAATGGCATTGTACTAGATAGTTAGTGTTGTGCTATGGGTTCCAAAAAATGTTGTGAGTAATAATTTGCTGGCAAATTGAACTCTTTTCAAGCATACATACTAATGTATCAGAGCAGGATGAGACAAATGCTGTGTACTGGTTGTAGATATGAGATTGTTATTGGTCAACCGTGTATAAATATGCACCTTCATCCTCCTTCGTGCTTTCGTGCCTTTCTACCTCCTTCGTGACGTTAGTTACGACTTGGCTTACTCGCAGATCCCTTTCCCCGTCATCCGAGAATTGACCTAGTTCTAGTCTGAGCGCTTCCGATCTCAACAAAACCGTAGAAGCACGTAGTTCCTCCCTCGCGTCTTACACCATGAGGTGAGCTTCGTCTAATTCTCCTCGTACCGTCTGTGCTGCTTACGTATGTCTCAACGGAAGGTCGAAGATTAACATTGTTGCCTTGTCTCTCGTTGTCACTTTCTCCGTGTGTCTTGCGTTCATTCCGTCGTCCTGATGACGTTGCCTTCAGTCGACCAATGGACGAGGATGAGGTGCGTAATTTTGTCGTTCTCGTCGTTTTTTCCTCAAGCTTATATTTCTTTAGAATGCCTTTCTCACTTCCATTGCCATCACGCGTGTTATTCGTCTGTACAGGCGGAGAAGAAGGAAGAAGAAGAATTCAGCACAGGGCCGTTATCCGTGCTCACGATGAGTGTCAAGCAAAATACTCAGGTTCGATCAAATCAAGGGTTTTTTATTCCGGGATTTAGTCACAGAGGCGTCGTTTGTTTATGAAATGCACGTTTTCACGTCTCGGCGTGTCTCGCTTGTTTTCTGACAGGTATTGATAAACTGCAGAAACAACAGGAAATTGCTTGGAAGAGTGAAGGCCTTCGACCGTCACTGCAACATGGTCTTGGAGAACGTCAAAGAGATGTGGACAGAGGTAGGCCTAACCTACTTCAGTTTCCGTTTCGATTATATTTCTCTGTTTCCGCCCCTGTTCATCTCTTTTGCTGATCTCACTCTTTCCGGGTCTTCCAGGTTCCAAAGACTGGGAAGGGGAAGAAGAAAGCCAAGCCAGTGAATAAGGATCGATTCATCAGCAAAATGTTTCTGAGGGGAGATTCAGTCATCATTGTCCTTAGGAACCCTAAATAGGGAGCGCCCTTTTCTCCAATTTTAGCTCATCTTAGCAGTGCTCGGGAGGTTAGGACCTTTCTACGAAGCAGGTATGAAGCTGTTCTGCATTCAAATCAAGGTGGAGGGCTCTAGCGTGGGGTATGGTGAGCCCATCAGGTAGTGCTGGTGCATATCGTTTAGCACGGGTTTAGATTTTGTTGTTTCAATTCACTTTGCTATCATTTTACTTACTAACAAGCAGAAGCCTTTAACTGTGCTGCTCAGATTCTCACAGGGTTGCACAAGCTGCTTCCTCACAGGAGTGAACAAAATTGATTGCAACCCTGGATCATACACAATCTGATTCAGACAATGTAGTTCTCACATGGAGTGGCCTGAGCACAGAGACAAGGTCCTGCAACCGCACCGGCTTGGTCAAGAAGCCATCCATTCCCACCTTTTCACACTTCTCGCGCTCGTGATTTAATGCACCAGCAGTGAGTGCAACAATAATCGGTCTGCTCTCAGGAAGCGGATTTGTGAAATAATGCTCATGCCGTCCCGCTGGCCTTGACCTATCCGTATCGGGTCTGAAGTCCTCCTGATGGCTATCTACCTTGCCATTGTCACGTGTGACACTTCTCTGCTGTGCATCGAGGGCCCGGATGTTGCAGGTGGCTTCAAAGCCGTCCATTTCCGGCATGTGAACATCCTGCAAGAAAGTAAATAGAGCCACAGGTGGTCAGGAAGGCCAAGGTACCAAATAGAAAGGCGGTTCGTATCCAGCAATCGAGCAAGCCAGGCTTACCATGAGCACAAGGTCGTATTCCTTGTCACGGCATGCCTGCACTGCAAGCACGCCATTCTCCGCCACGTCGCTGTTCACACGTAGGCTGCGCAGCAGACGCACCACCACCATGCGGTTCACTGCATTGTCCTCCACCACCAGACACCGCACTCCCGGAAATGACACCGATGGTGATCGGGGAGGTGATTTCAAACCACTTGGTGCCTTCGCTGATAGTACAGGAGCATCTGAAACATGCTCGTTAGTTGAAGGCACATGATCATGCTTCTGGTTTCGATCTATTCGCAGTGGATCGTGCATCCTCCATTGCTGAGCCACTAAGACCTTGTTCGGTCCGGCTTCCTCCTTGGCATTGATCTGCTGCTTCCCCTGCTCCTGCAATTCTCCCTTTGAGTGCTGCACCTCTTGCTCTGCTTCGGCCACCTGATCCAACCCTTCTCCCACCAATCGCAAGCTTTCCTGCATTGACCAGGAGAGTGGACTCAGAGCAGCAGCAGCAGCAGTTGCAGCAGGAGCAGGCGCCGCACCGGAAACAGCAGGAGCAAAAGCAGCAGCAGCAGCAGCAGCACAGGGCTCAACCGGCCGGTCATAGGCACCTATGCTGGAAGGTTCAGAAGTTGCCCTGACCACCTTGAAGGGCAGCGAGAACTGGAACGTGGTGCCATGCCTTGGATGAGCATCAGCAGCTTGCTTGCTGTAGAAATCAGCAGCACCTATTGCTGCTGTCGGACATGCAGTTATATCAGCAGCCATGGGACATGGATTGGTCGGACTGGTGTGGCTGGTGAGGCTGGTGTGGCTGGTGAGGCTGGTGTGGCTGGTGGGGCTGGTGGGGCTGGTGGGGCTGGTGGGGCTGGTAGGAGTAGTGATTTTGCTGGAGGGACTCGTGGGGTTCCTGCTGCCTGCATTCGCATCACCCGCGGATCCAGCCACAGGCACACGGTCGGCAGGCTTTGGACTGGCCACCGAGGACACGTGGATGGTGCCGCCCATGAGCGTGACGAGCGAGTGGCAGATGGCGAGCCCGAGCCCCGTGCCACCGTACCGGCGGCTAGTGGACTCGTCTGCCTGCATGAACGGCTGGAAGAGGCGCGGGAGCATGGCTGGAGGGATGCCGATGCCCGAATCAACCACCTCAAAGTGCACTGCGATCTCCTCCACTTCTGTATCACTCTTTCGACATGCTGCTGCTGCCACTGTTGTCTCTGTTGTCCCTGTTGTCCCTGTTGTCTCTGCTGCCCCTGTTGTCCCTGTTGTCCCTGTTGTCTCTGTTGTCTCTGCTGCCCCTGTTGTCCCTGTTGTCCCTGTTGTCTCTGTTGTCTCTGCTGCCCCTGTTGACTCTGTTGACCCTGTTCCACCCATGGCCACTGCCACTCCTTCTGATATGCACCCTTCATCGCTTCGCCAAACCTTGAGCTCTCCAAACGTTACTTGCATCACTTTCTCTGCCTGGCCCTTCCCCTCTGGTTCCACTCTCACCTGCTCCTTGTAAATCCCTCCTGCCGCCCCACCAGCAGAATTCCTTCTGCTGCGCTTCAGAACCGTGCAACCATCAACCTCCCCACTGGCCCTGTCTGCTGCTGCTCCCCACCGTGCATCGTTCGTGCAGCATTCTTCCTCCTCACTGCTGCAGTCCAGTCTCTTGCGTTTCCTCCAACCATTTTTAGAACCCATATGTCGCAACGGCATCTCCACGTCTCCCCCCTGCAGTTCCGCTGCTGTTGCCTCTGCTGCTGATGAGCCTGCTGCGCCCCCTGCTAAGCTCTGAAGGGCCTCGACGCAAGGTGTTGTTGCTGCTGCTGCACGGGCCTTAGAGTCTTCCTCTGTTGGGTGAGGCAGGTTTCCTGTAACGTTCGATGTGAAAATCCGGAGCTTCACAAAGCCCCTGATCATTGTTGGGTGAGGCAACAGGGTAACAACAGGAATGGGGGCCTTTTGTTTGTTTGTGTGTGGCATTGGGTGAACTTGATGGTGTTGGAGAGGGGGTTGAAAGGGTTCAAGAGGGAAGGAGGGAGGGAATGAGAGGAGCGAAGGAGGATGGAGAAGAGAGGGGAGGATGGAGGGAAGAAGGGAGCTTGCTGGCGTTGGAGGGGAGAAAGAGAGTTCAAGGAAAGAAGAGAAAGAGAGATGAGAAGGAAGGAGATTGGAGGAGGTTGGAAGAGTGCACTGACTGGTGGGTGAACTTGATGGCGTTGGAGAGGAGGTTGAGCAGCACCTGGCGCAGGCGAGAGGGGTCTCCCACGATGCAGCGAGGCACGGCGCCATCCATCTCCACCTCCAGCTGTATGCATGGGAGGGAGAGGGAGAGGGATGAATGGTGTCAGGGGGGGAGCAGGTTGAGCACTTTTGCGCAGGTGAGAGAGGTCTCCCACCATGCAGGGAGGCTCGGCGCCTTCCATCTCCACCTCCAGCTGCATTGCATACAAGGAGTTTTACGACCAGCACACGCATTGGTTGGAACTTCGGCAGGAAAGGAATGAGGAGAGGGCGGGGGTGGGGGAGTGTTGAAAACAAAAAGTCAGACGAATTTTCTCATCAGATCTTTGCCCCATCGCACCCCGACTCCCCAACTTCACACTTAACCCATACTCACACCAAATCCCCCTCCATCACACCAAGCGCAAGGGACTGTGCCTCATTCTTGCCCTTCCATTGACACTCCCGCTTCACTCAACCACACTCAGCCCCACCCAACCGCACTCAGTCACACTCATTCCCACTCACATTGAGTCCTTTCTGCCATGCCAGCACAGCAACAGCAGCCACAGCGCCATCCACCGTCTGCTGCAACTGAAACAGAATCGACTCGAGAGCTAATGACCGCGCCTCGATCTTGCTTATATCGAGTACGTCTGATATGATGTGCAGCAGGCTGTCTCCCGATTCACTCAACCACACTCAACCTCACTCAACCGCACTCAACCGCACTCACCCTAGGCCTTTCCGCTGTGCCAGCACAGCAACAGCACCCACAGCCTCCTCTACTGCCTGCTGCAGGCGAAACGGGATCGACTCGAGCGCTAGCGACCGCGCCTCGATCTTGCTTATATCGAGTACATCGGATATGACGTGCAGCAGGCTCTCTCCCGACGAGCGGATCACCTCGCAGTACTGCTGCTGCTCGGGGGTTAGTGGCGTTTGTAACAACAGCTCCGCTACTCCCAGCACACCTGGGGGAAGTAGGGGAGGGAGGGAGGGAGGGAGGGAGGGAGGGAGGGAGGGAGGGAGGGAGGGAGGGAGGGAGGGAGGGGGGGAATCGTAGGGAAATGGTCTGGCTGTCTCCCAACGAGCGGATCACCTCGCAGTACTGCTGCTGCTCGGGGGTTAGCGGCATTTGTACCAACAGCTCCGCCACCCCCAGCACACCTGTGGGAGTGGAGTGGAGGGAGCGGATTGTAGGGAAATGGTCAGGCTGTTTCGAGTTGACTTTTGAGTCGACTCAAGAGCGGATTGTAGGGAAATGGTCAGGCTGTTTCCCTACATAGAACTGTTGCACAACTGTTGATGCTTGCTTGGTAGTACACACATCAAAATTTCCATGTGCACATACCATTCATGGGCGTGCGGATCTCATGGCTCTTGGTCTGATTAAACACATCATCCCCACGTGCATGTATGTACCCATTCATTCCGTGCTGTCACCTCACGTGCAAATATCACTCTCACATGCACCAAACATACCATTCATGGGCGTGCGGATCTCATGGCTGATATTTGCCAGGAACTGGCTCTTGGCCTGACTCGCCGCCTCTGCCGCCTCCTTGGCCTGCCTCAGCTCTTCCTCATGCCGCTTCATGTCCCGCAGGTCGTGCCACACAGATACCACCTCCCCCGGATGCTCCTCGCTTAGAAACTGTGAGGGTGTGGCAGGAAACATGAAAAGGGAGGGGAAGGGAAGCACACATGGGAAATGGTGTTTCTTAGCCTCAGCCCCTCCTCTTGCCGCTTCATCTCCCGCAGATCGTGCCACACAGATACCACCTCCCCCGGATGCTCCTCCTCGCTCAAGAACTGTGTGTGGAAATACAAGGGAGGGAGACGGGTAGGAGAGGAGGGGCATTGAGGGTAAGGGACACAGGGAGTGGTTCTTCCTCCTGCCGCTTCATCTCCCGCAGGTCATGCCACACTGATACCACCTCCCCCGGGTGATCCTCGCTCAGGAACTGTGTACGTTTCATGAACGGAAAGAGGGTGAGAAGCAAAGAGGAGGAAGGAGGGGATGCGACGGAAGGTGGAGGGGTGACGAGGGCCAATGGCTTTCCACGGATGTACCTGCGCTTACTCACCGTTCCCCCCCCCCCCTTACAATATCTCTCCAACCTCGCACGCACCTGCACATCGACCAGCACGGGATACAGCTCCCTCGGGTATCATAGTGCCACCACTCACCAATATACGCCACCACCCTCTCGCACCGCTCCCCACCCCCTCACACGCACCTGCAACTTCACCAGCACAGGAAACAGTTTCCCCTCGGTTGTCACACTGCCACCACTCGTCGATGGAGGCCTCCACCCCCTCGCACCGCTCCCCACCCCCTCGCACCGCTCCCCACCCCCTCGCACCGCTCCCCACCCCCTCGCACGCACCTGCACTTTGACCAGCACAGGGATCAGCTCCCCTCGCGTGTCATAGTGCCACCACTCATCGATAGACGCCTCCACTCACAGCAGGGCTGCACCAATCGAATCATCTTATGTGCCATCCGCTCTCCTTCTCTCCCTCGACACTTTCCCCCCTTCCAGCTGTACCTCAGAAAGCGCTTACTCACCCCTTCCCACTCCCTCTCACCTCTCCCCACCCTTTCACCCACCTGCACCTTCACCAGCACAGGGAACAGCTCCCCTCGCGTGTCATAGTGCCACCACTCGTCGATAGAGGCCTCTCCTCGCAGCAGCGGCTGCACGAATCGCACCATCTTATCCGCCGTCCGCTCGCCGCCCGGCTGGACCTCCGGGGAGAAGGCAGCGGGGCTCAGCTTGTGACAGATGGCGGCCTTTGATTGGTGCCCCAGCATCCGCACTGCCGCCTCGTTGCACTCGTGGATCAGCCTGTCTCCACCGATGATAAAGATCGGATCCTGAGTTTGGGGTTACAAGAGAGGAAGGGGAGGGGATTTGGTGCCGCCACCGATAATAAATATCAGGTCCTGAGTGTGGTGGTGGAGAGAGAGGAAGCGGACAGTGGCTTTGCCGGGTCGACTCAAGTTATGAGCTAGACAATTATCAGGGTCGACTCAAAACTCGTGGATGAGAGGGTTGCGTTGCATGCACAGCTGTACTCTACTTTTGAGACGTCTCAAAAGTCGTGTACGACAACACTCACCATAGAGATCTCGAATATCCGCTTGAACTTCCCGTTGTACACGCCCTCGCGGATTTTCGCCTCCAGCGCCTTCAGCCGCTCCACTAACGAGTCCAGCCCCTTCCCTATAGCGAGTACAGCTGCAGCAGCTGCAACAACAGGGAGCTGGGGTGGCAGCTGGGCAGCGGAGAAGCAACCCTCCAGAGCAGCAGAGATCAATTCCTGGATGGAACAGAGGCGGGAATAAAAAGCTTGTGTGTTTCCGTTTATTGATCATGTCATATAGTGTGCTGGGAAGAGGGCAGGGCAACCGCCACTGCCGGTGTCAGGAGTTGCCTCAGAAGCAGACCCTCGGCAAACCAAAAGCAAACCATAAACCCTGTACCTGTTTGTCTTTCCACGTGGAGATGTCATGCAGTGTGCAGAGCAGAGGACGACCACCACTGCCTTGACCGGAATCCATCCCTATCGGAGCCAGACGTAGCTCAATCAAACCATCTGAACCGTCCATTTGATCCGATGATGCCATCAGAGTTGCCATGACTGCTTCCAAAACCAGCACGCCCAAGGCTGCTGCTACTGCTGCTGTCGCCATGACTGCTGTTGCTGCTGACGGTGCTCCGAAGCCGGACTTCCAGCATGGTGGCTTTGCTGTCCGCGTTAAGAGCATGGCTCTGCCATATAGCTCTGGGAGAGAATTCGATGGTTAGGTAAACTAAACAATGAAGCCCATTTCGTTCTGGTAGGAGCGCGTGGGGCTCTTGATTGGAGCGGACTCTTGTTTTTCCAAGCACCTTGGAAAACAATGTGGACGAAAAGCGTTTGTGACTTAAGATTCGACCCGTGATCTTTGCAAGTGAACGGATGGTGGTGCGGTGATTTAGCGTATTCCATGCACAGCCGCTTTAGTGAAATAAATGAATGTCAACATGGACGATGAACTCCAGGAACGAAACGAACTGTAACAAGTACAACGTGCCGACGGGTAAGTGGTGGCGGTGGGCTTACCTGAAACGCGCTCTGGTCGTCATCGTGAATCAGCTCCAGGAACGGACGGTGTAGAAGCTCCTGGTCGCCATGGCCTGGCGACAGCGACGCGCGCATGGCAGCGCTGCACAAACAGGCACCAAAGGTGCACAGGCAGAGGGGGGTGGGGGGGGGGGGGGAGCGGGGAGGGAAAAGATGAAAATGCATTTCGAGTATTTTTTAAAGCCAACTGATCTCCATCTCGCCATCATGGCCTGACGACAGCGACTCGCGCATGGCAGCGCTGCACAAACAGGCATTAGAGGTGTACGGGCAGAGGGGGTGAAGTATCACGAGTATGCATTCTGAGTCATTTCTAAACCAACTGATCTCCAGCTTGCCATCCGGGAGGGAGGTGACGCATTGAATAGCATGTTGCGTTTGCGTCTAGTCTTGACATGATCTCGTTGGAGAGCGGCGCGCACCTCTAATAACGCTGTTTGAAGTGACTTTTGAGTCGAGTCAAAAATCACCTTGACATGAGCTCGTTGGAGAGCGGATCGCACGTTCTAGTGACGATGTTCGAGCGCTGCATTTCATGCTGCTTTGGCGGGACGCGACGTGACACGCTTTGCATTGCACTCTTTGTGAAGCCACTATTGATAATCCTCAGACATGACTCATAAATCAATCACGGGACGCGACGTGACGCTTAGCAGTGCACTTTTTGTGAAGCAGCCCGGTGCTCAGCTCGCCCTAGGCTCCTCTTGAGGAACGGGATGCGACACGTATTGGTTTGATCTCACCCCTCTGCTGAGTGTTTTCCGGGATATGTTTCTAAACGTTCACCTCAATATCCTACCTGTATTCGACGATTAGGCCATCTGCTGAGAGACAAGCCGCGGGAACATGCTCGCAGAGGGCTTCCGCCAGCAAACGGCATCTCGTGGGTGGACAATAGTTTTGATCCATGGAGAATATCGAAGTCGGAGAACGAGAATGGAGGATGCAAGAACCATAGGGGTTCCCGCCTGGAGTTTTTTTGTTTGCAGCTTTTCCTGCACGCCGATCGAGAGTGTCTTGGTTCCGATTGGGAGAGAGTATTTGGCAGTTCCGAAGAGTGTCTCAGGAGTTCCACTAGAAGTTCGGTTTACAGGAACTGAGTACGCTTCTGTGCATTTTAGTGCGTTATCGTTTCTCGCCGCTTTCAACCGAAGCTCACCTGCCTGAACAATCATTGATGCCCGAATCGTAAACAAGCTCGTGACTGACAGACTCCACTCCACTCCACACCACACCGCACGCTTTCGTTGGAACTCGCTGAGGAATGGCAGTGAACTTGTAGCCGCACACTGGTATACCTCACTCGAACGCTCTAGAACTCGGAGAACCACATTCAGCCGTACTGGTGGAGTGCTGTGGACTCTTTTGTACTCTTATGTCGAATGCGGGGTGAATAGCTCACTTCGCTGCGGGACGACCACATAAATCATAACCTGCGGGTCGTATGTATTTATAATCACGATTTTGAACTATCTCCTGCGTCCGGGCCAAGTATGGGAGGGGTTTTCGGCCGGCCGAAGCAGCATCGCGGAGACGGGAAAGTCGTGGCTATAACGGGATGCTCTAAAGGAGGAATTGGTTACGCCCTCGCAGAGTATGCTTTTTCCGATACCTAGTCCGGGAATTCTTTGTTTGATTAGGAACTTTTACATCGTGAATTCGACACAATTATCCTCAGAGCAGGCGCGCTGTAGTAATATTCATTCAAAAGTTTTCGCTTTCACTCGCATTCCCCCCTCCCACTCGCATTCCCCCCTCCCACTCGCATTCCCCCTCTCACTCGCATTCCCCCACTCACTCGCATTTCCCCACTCGTTTCATTGCACATCCCGACCAGGGAGTATGCACGGAGGGGTGCCAAGGTGTTTGCAACGGCGCGGCAGGTAGAGGCCATGGAGGGGCTACAGGAGCAGGGCGTGAGTACAGTGAAGCTGTCACCCCTCCCATCGCCCCTCAACATCCGCTTCCTCTCCCCATCCCCTCATCCCCTCCCCCTCCTCTCCCCCCACGACCAGGGAGTATGCACGGCGGGGCGCCAAGGTGTTTGCGACGGCACGGTCGGTAGAGGCGATGGACGGGTTGCAGGAGCAGGGCGTGAGTACAGTGAAGCTGGATGTGACTAAAGAGGATGATATCAAGGTGCGTTTATTCTCAGGGGCCTAGAGCATAAGAGTTGGGGCGGAGCAGGGCGTGCGTAGTAAAGCTGGATGCGACTAACGAGGATGTTATTAAGGTGCATGTTTTGTTAGCGGCCTCGAGAGTTGCAGCAGCAGACTATGCAAGAAGCAGTGACTTGAGCTGTAGCAGCTGTGTGTGACTAACGAGGATGACAGTGAAGCTGGACGTTACTAACAAGCTAAGATGACATCAAGGTGCCGTGCCTCTGGTGGCCGTGTTGAGGTGCTAATGTTCTTACTTTATCTCATTCTCTTATTCCCCCCCAACTGGCCCATCCTCTCTTTCCTTTCATCCCCTCTCTCCTCCTCCCTTTTCATCCCCCCTCCACCCGCCTCCTCCTTCTCTTCTCCCATGCTTCGGCTTCTCCTTACCCTTCCCGTTGCAGTCTGCTGTGGATGTGATTGTAAAGAGCGCTGGGCAGATCGACATTCTTGTGAACAACGCGGGTGTGCTTATCATGGGGCCTGTGGCGGACCTCCCGCTCTCCTCCTGGCGCCACGGCTTTGAAACCAACCTGCTGGGGGCAGTGGCTATGGCACAGGCCGTGTTCCCCCACATGGCTGAGAGGCGGAGCGGGTGCATTGTGAATATATCGAGCATCCTGGGTTACCAGGCATTGTGAGTATAACGGTGGGGTTTGGGGCTGTTCTGAAGCCATGGTGATATACCCAATCTAATGGAGGGTAGTGGTCATGGCACAGGTTGTGTTTCCCCACATGGCAGAAAGAAGGAGCGGGTGCATTGTGAATATGTCGAGCATTCTTGGGTATCAGGCATTGTTAGTACAACGGGCTGTTCTGAAGCCATGGTGATATACCCAATCTGCTGGGGGCAGTGGCTATGGCACAGGCTGTGTTTTCAGACATGGCTGAGAGGAGGAGTGGTTGCATTGTGAATTTATCGAGCATCCTGGGATACCAGGCGTTGTGAGTAAAAGATGGCGTTTCATTCTAATGAAAACAATCGATTTTGTATTTTATTTATTTAAGCTCGACCCTAGGTTAATGGCTTGAATCTCTTGGGAGCTGGAGCTGTTGATTTCTCCTTATGCAGCTGACACAGAAGGGCTTGCTGCGTACAGATCGTGGTCGCTACGTACCCTCCTCCCTTTCCCAAACGCGCCATCACAGGCCCATGGTCGCTGTGTATGCAGCGTCCAAGGCAGCGTTGACGGCAGTGACCAACTGCATGCGCTTCAGAATGAACCCCAAATGCCCCACCTCCCTTGCCCTTTCCCCGCTACCCCATCCCACCTCTCTCCCACCCACCTCCCCACATGCTCCACGGCAGGCCCATGGGCGCTGTGTATGCAGCATCCAAGGCAGCACTGACTGCGGCGACCAACTGAATGCATATGGGAATGAACCACCTCTCTTCTCCTCTACTCTCCCCCCCCTCCCCATCTTCACCTCCCCTGCCCCTGTACCCTCACCGCATGTTCCATCTCAGGCCCACGGGCGCTGTGTATGCAGCGTCCAAGGCAGCACTGACTGCAGCGACCGACTGCATGCGCATGGAGATGAAGAACCCCACACGCTCCACGGCAGGCCCGTGGGCGCTGTGCTGTGTATTCGGCATTCAAGACGGCGTTGACCGCAGCAACCAGCTGCATGCGCATGGAGATGAGGTCATCCCTCTAGTCCCTGCTCTCCCGCCTGTCCCAAATGCTCCACGGCAGCCCTATGGCCGTTGTGCTGTGTATTCGGCATTCAAGGCGGTGTTGACTGCAGCAACCAGCTGCATGCGCATGGAGACGAGGCACCTCTATTGGTGTGACTTTTGAGAATTCTCAAAAGTCACACCAATATACCCGTGGGCGTTGTGCTGTGTATTCGGCACTCAAGACGGCGTTGACTGCAGCAGCCAGCTGCATGCGCATGAGAGATGAGGCACCTCCTTTCTCCCTCCCTTTCCCTCCCCCCTTCTTCCCCATACCCTGATCACATGCTTGCACAGGCCCATGGGTGCTGGGTATTCTGCATCCAAGGCGGCATTGACGGCAGCGACCAACTGCACGCGCATGAAGATGAAGCACTCTCCCCTTCCCCTTCACCATTCCCCCCTCAACTGTGCTCCCCGTACCCTGATCACATGCTCCATCACAGGCCCATGGGCGCGCTGTATTCGGTCTCCAAGGAGGCCCTGAGACGTCTCAAAAGGCGCGGTGTATTCGGTCTCCAAGGCGGCCCTGATGGCAGCAACCAACTGCACGCGCATGGAGATGAACTATTTCCTTTCCCCCTGTCCCATTTCCCCTCCTCCCCCTCCCTCCCGCCACCTCCCTGCACCCTCGTCTTATTCTCCATGCAGGCCCATGGGCGCAGTGTATTCTGCATCCAAGGCAGCGTTGACGGCAGCGAATAACTGCATGCGCATGGAGATGAAGCCGTCTCCCTTCCCTTTCCCCACTCTCTCTTTCTCCCATACTCGACCCTCATTACGCGCTCAATCACAGGCCCATGGGCGCTGTGTATTCTGCATCCAAGGCTGCGCTGACGGCAGCGAATAACTGCATGCGCATGGAGATGAAGCCGTTCCCTCGACCCTGCTCTCCTGCCTGTCCCACATGCTCCACGGCAGGCCCATGGGCGCTGTGTATTCGGCATCCAAGGCAGCGTTGACAGCAGCGACCAACTGCATGCGCATGGAGATGAAGCCGTTTGGAATAAAGGTCGTGCTTGCGACTCCTGGGCTTATCAAGACTGAGCTTTTCGGGTGAGTGGGGTGGAACAAAGTACTCTCAGCAAATTATTCAACATTCTTGCATCAAAAAATATTTCGCACGCTTCGATAATGATGTCATCATCCTTTTTTTCTGTCTGCTTGCAGAAAATCCCCTCAGATTTCCGTTCAGCTGCCACCCACCAGCCTGTACGCTCCGTGCCAAGCCAACATTGACAAAATGGCAAGCCTGCCCCACACAACGGCCATGACCCCCCCTTCCCAACTCGCATCTCTGATCGTCAACGCCTCGCTTTCCCCCAACCCTCCCTGGCGCCTTTTTGCCGGAGAACTCTGGCCCACTGTGATGGCAATGGTGTGGTTTGCTCCTGTGTGGCTCACCGACTGGGTTTATTGGAGCACGGGATATGGAAATCTTTTAGCAGCAGCTGAAAAGAAGAAGAGGATTGCTGGTGACGTGGGGGAGAGGAAGCAGAAGTAAAGATGTGGAGATGTTATTGAAGGGAGCGGGGAAGAGTGTGACACGCAGAAGGTGTTTTCTGGTGGGAACTTCTCCATGCTATTTATTATGATTGCATATTCGACGTGAGTGGCAACAGTAGAACCTGCTCAGACGAGTGTGCTGTAGATTGTGGTTCTGGCTTTGATTTACAATCTGAGGTGCTTGTGTGTAAGGATTTACAAATCCTTACTGAGGCACTCGTTAGCGAGGCCATCTCGATGGTCACGCGACGAACCTGCCCTTCCTAATTCGTCGCACCGAACCACTCCCGAGTCGCCTCCGCACCAATCGCAACCATCACCGAGCCATCCTCGCCCAACCTCTCCGCCTTGCTAGGACCTCCCCTATTTAGGCCTCGTCACTTCCATTGTATCGTCATTCAGTAATTCTGTAATTCTCATTCTCGTTATTCGTTTTACTGCGCACTCTGCAAGTTCATTCATAACATTGTGGGACACTTTATTCAACTGTACAGATTATTTTTTAGAAGTGTTCTTGCAAACTGTAAGGAAAAATCCTTTTCCTTACTTCGCATCCCTGCTCAACGCGTACATCACTGTAGCACCACAGTCAGCACCGTTACCACTCGCAACCCTCGCATCGACAATCTGCCCGCCACCTTCGCACATCGCACCCCGACCTCACGGCTCGGCGGGTAACCCGCGCTCCGGGCCTCCGCTTCGACACTTTTCCCAACCTCAGTCCCAGGCCCGTCGCGCGACAACCACAGTCCATTACCGTTACCACTGTAGTTTCGCTATATATTCTTCGCTCATACCTTCGCTCATTGTACTCTTGCTTCGATAGTGCAATTCTCGTTCGTTCACTCAATTGCACTCGTAACACTTGGTATTCAGAGCCTACGACCTCTTCTCGGACCGCACCCACACCTTCGCTTCCCCACTATCTCAATTTTTGGGGGGGGTAGACGTCCCTCAGCGACACAGCACCGCCGCTCGTAGTGCTCTCTCGTAAGCACGCACGGCCACGACTGAGGCTCTCGCTGAGCTCGCCCGACACCCCCGCCATGGCCGAATTCACGCTCGCCACATTGACGCAGGAGCAGCTCGACCGTCTGGTGCGCCAACTCGAAGATTCGGCGCTCGAAATTGCGACGCTCACGGCGGAACGTGACTCCGCGCGTCAGCAATCAACGATGAACACTCCAGCGCCACCACACGCACCGACAAACGCATCTGCACAATCAGACGAGCCGGTCGTCATCTCGTCCGGCACACCAACACAAAACAACAGCGTGGGACAGCGCTCAGGCACAGCCAGCGATGGCGCCGCCCAGCCGATGCCTGGCATGGGAGGAAACAGGGTCGCACCAAGCCCGCGGAAGCCTCGCGAAGCCCGTCGGCACGTGGAGTTCGCGGCGACAAGTGGCGAACAGGCCATCATGGTGTGAAGAAATGAGGAATGAGTGAACTAGGAAATGAGTTGGGTACAAATATGAAACCCTAGAAAGCTGTACCGCATACTGTCTACCCCACTACAGCCTAGAAAGACTATAGCATATAAGTTCGACACACCCCCATAGGCAAAGTGGGGGAGAACAAGGGGTCACAAGACCAGTCAAGCAAAGCACAGCAAGCTCAGGGTGGATCCCAACGTCACCACACATTCTGAGCACAAGTTCAAGGGCCACAAGGCCAGTTCACATGCAAGCATATATATATAAAGCTAAACATGCAAGTGCAAGCATATATAGGTCACAGTACAAGCAAGGTCAAGAAGTGAGCAAGTGAGGCAAAGTAGGTACAAGACCTAACAAAGTACAGAAGCGCTGATGATCACAAGGCGCAAGTGCCTTGGTGAAGATATCAGCAGTGTTGGCCTGAGAGGCCACGTAAGCAAGTCGTAGCTGACCACGCTGCTGCAGCTCACGAGCAAGGAAGTAGCGAAGAGCAATGTGCTTCGTTCTGTGCTCCAGTCTGTGCTCCCGACACAAGGCCAGCATGGCCTTGTTGTCTACGTACAGAACTGGAGGAGAACGAGGCGGCTCTCCAAGGTCAGTAAGCAGGTAGGTGAGCCAGCGTAACTCCTGTGCAGCCATGGCCCCTGCGTAGATCTCAGCCTCACAACTGGAGCCGAGAACAGAAGACGAGCGGGTAGACCGCCACGAAACAGAGCCGGAACCAAGGCTGAAGGTGTAACCCTGTGACGACCGCTGCGTGGCCTGGTCGTCAGCCCAAGAAGCGTCTGCGTGACCAGTGAGGACCACTGGACTCCACCCTCCAAGCACAAGCCCCATGCCCGACGTACTGCACAAGTAGCGCAACACCCTCTTCGCTGCAGCCATGTGCTCTGGTCTGTGTCTCCCAGGAGCAACATAGCGTGCCAGAATGCTAAGAGGGTATGCAAGGTCAGGTCGAGTGCAGGTCATCAGGTACATGAGGCAGCCAACAAGCTCTGGGTACGGGCCACTCGACTCTACGGACTCATCCGAAGGCAGAGCTGAGAGCGAGTGGCGAGTAGACAGAGGAGTGGCCTGAGGCGAGGAGTACGTGAAGCCGAAGCGCTGAAGGACCTGCTGCACCATGTGTGACTGAGTCAGGGTAATGGTGCGCTGTGCTCTGTCCCGGGTGATCTGCAAGCCAAGGTAGCTGCGCAGTTCACCCAGGTCTGTGCACGTGTGTCTCTTCTGCAGCTCGGACTTCACGTGGGCGAGTCCAGCAGTGTCAGCTGTGGCAAAGACCAAGTCGTCGACGTACACGAGGATGTAGAACGGCGGCAAAGAAGTGTCGGTGCGCAGAAACAGCGACGGGTCGGCAGTAGAAGGAGCAAACCCAAGAGCCGCAAGTGTAGTCCTCAGTGTGTCGTGCCACTCACGAGGTGCCTGGCGGAGACCGTAGACTGGCCGCCGGAGGCTCCACAGGGTACCAGGAGGAAAAGACCCAGTGAAGCTAGGTGGACGGCGCAGCCAGATCTCCTCGTGCAAGCTCCCCTGCAAGAAAGCAGTGCTGAAGTCAAGAGAGTGAAGCTCGTAGTCGCGGTGAGCGGCTATGTGCAGTAGTACCCGAAGAGTGGTCATCTTCGGGGTGGGAGAGAAGGTCTGAAAGTAGTCAACTCCCTGCCGCTGACTGAAGCCACGAGCCACGTAGCGCGCCTTGAAGACAGGCGGAGAACCCGGCGGCCGCTTCACCTTGAAAATCCACATGCCACTGACGATGTTCGCCCCAGGAGGGGGAACCTCGTCGACGTAGGTGCCTGTGGACTTCCAGGAAGCCATCTCTGCATCCATGGCTGCCTGCCACTGAGAGGAGTAGGGACCCTCTATCGCCTCCGCGTAAGAGCGCGGAGTCGGGATGTCTAGTGCATCCGGGTCTCCCTCAGGGGCAAGCAGCATGGACACAAGATGAGGTGAAGCAGCAGAAAAGCACTGGAACTCCTCCTGCCTGTCCTCAAGGACGTCCGTGCCAAGGGCACACTCACCCCCGACGGACGGAGGACAGACAGACGCAGACTCAGCGACAAGACTAGCAGCGTAGTCTAGGCGACAGCGAGCAGCGAAGTCGACAAGCTCAGAAACTAAGGCAGACGCAGCAGCGGACTCAAAGGAAGGGTCAGTGACGACAGTAGCAAGGAGACGCGTGACAGTAGGACTGGCAGCACGAAGGGAGTCCGACTCCGGGTCAGCAAGAACAGGAAGAGAGGACTCAGGAGGAGAAGGCAAAGGGGCACGCAGCGGAGCAGTGGAGGGACGCAGAGACATCCGGTGCGTGCCTGGGACAGGGGGAGGACGCTGACGCGAACCACGACTACTAGTGCGCTCAGCACGGACAGGCGACGCAGGACGAGACGCAGGCTCACGACGCTCAGCAAGACCTCCAGTAGGACCAGTGTAGGGAGAAGGAGCAGGCAGAGGAGAGGTAGGCTGTAACTGTGACTCGGACTGGACAGGCGGTGGACACTCTAAGGGAGGAGCCGGACTAGCAGAGGGCGGAAGACCAAGAACCTGCTCAAGGAGCGGAACGAAGTACGGCCGCGGCCGCTCAGTACCACCAGCACCAGAAGGGACAGCACCAGCACCCCGAACGACAGCACCAGCGCCAGCAGCACCCCCAGCTCCAGCAGCGCCAACTCCAGTACCCTCAGAGGCACCAGCACCAGAGGCACCCTCAGCGCCAACACCCCCAGCAGCTCCAGCTCCAGCCGGACCACCAGAAGACGCAGCGGGTCCAGCTCCAGCACCCGCAGTAGCACCGACGCCCGCAGCACCACCAGCTCCAGTACGAGAAGCACCCGCAGGCCCAGCAGCTCCAGTACTCCCAGTACGAGCACCTCCGAGACCCGCGGCACCAGCACCCTCAGCAGCAGCA